ATATAAATACACACACATACATGTATATATTAAGGAAAAATGTTATATATTTATTTATAATTTATATATAAAATATTTATATTTTTATATAATATAAATTATATACAAGTGTATATATATATATATATATATATATAATATATGCAAATATTTTTTTTAAATATACACGTGTTTTTATATATATATATATATATGTTTTGCAGCCCTAAACATTTCTTCTTATTATTGTTGAAAAAAGTTGTGTTTCTTGTTGTTTTTGTTGAATGCATGAATTTTTTTTTTCCATGATTATTTGTTGAATGGAAAGCTTAAAAAGCAGCATTTATTTGAAATATAAATCTTTTGTAACATTATAAATGTCTTTACTGTCATTTTTGAACAATTTAATGCATCTTTGCTAAATACTAGTATTTTATTTTCTTTCAAAAAATATTTTGAAAACTTTTGAATGGTGGTGTGTCATTGTGAACTTGTCTGAAAGTAATAAAAGGCTGTTAATGGAATATAGGGCAGTTAAATTACATTGTGTACATCTATAAGTTTGCATTTAAATCCAAAGTAGAGATTTACAAAGGTCATGTTCAGTGTTTATATATCCATATTCAGAAATGTGGTGGAAAATAATCACTAAAAACTAAATTAAAACTGAATGGGTTTTCATATAAGTGGATGGAAAAAATAGACAGACGACAAGACATCAAAATGAACACCATTTCTGTTCTTAATATTTGTCAGTGTTCACGATTCATGTGCAAAATGAATGCAGATTATTTTAATGGGACTAATGCTTGTTGTCAGTATCTTTAATCAAAGGTTTTAATAGACTTTTCTGCTGATGTATTTAAGGTTGCATGTATGAGGGAAAATAATATTAACCAATAATATTGCAGACATACCTTTGAAAACATTATTAATTTAGTTCTCCAGTTTTTAAAGTGAAACTACACGGTGTACTGACAGGACGTTATAATAGCGCCTCTCTTTTTCCTCTCTCAGGTGATGAGGATGGTGGTTTGGATCGAGATGAAGATGATGAATCAGCTGAACCCACTTTGAAGCTGCAGTCGGCTCCTGCCAAACCCGAGCGCAGTTATGTTATAGTCTGGCAGGTTGCTTTAGACAGTGACTGATAAATCATTTGCTGCAGGTTCAACCGAGAACTCTAGGTCAACCCACATGGGCTTATTATTTTACAATATACTACTTTTCTTATTAATGCAGATATTATTATTATTATTAATAATAGTGTTCTTAATACCTACATCACAATGAGTTCTAATATTTGTGCTTAGATGTTTATTTAATTTTACTGTTATATATGAATCTGGCATTGACAGAAAATTGATCAGTGTTGAAATGAAGGAACAAAACATTGACTTGAAGCCGTCCACAACTATATTGCAACTATATGAAAATCCTGTGCTAAAGGTTTTAAAGAAATAAATGAAGATTTGCTGAAAATATACTCCTCTTCAGGCCATCCAAGATGTAGATGAGTTCTTCTCTTCATCAGAACAGATTTGGTGAAATTTATCATTGCATCACTTGTTCACCAATGGATCCTCTGCAGTGAATGGG